GATTGTGCTTCAAAATTACATAATCTATCAAATATAATTTTTAAAATTAATTTTTATAAAGTAATATATTTTTATGAATTTTTAGTAAAGTAATAATGAAGGCTAGCCTTCGTGTAACGAAGGCTCGTGTTATGGAGGCTCATCTTGAGCCTCCATAATAATGGAGGAAATTATGGAGCCTCCGTGTGTAACGGAGGCTCATGATATGGATAACATATTATATTACAAAATTAATAAAATTTTAATTATTTTCTATTTTTTAGTACTATTATATTATACCTTTCAAAAAAAAATCATAAAAATATATTACTTTATAAAAATTAATTATAAAAATTATATTTGATAGATTATGTAATTTTGAAGCACAATGTAACATATCAAGATTAGAATCATTTTATGATAAAAATGAAATAGTAATAAAAACTCATTTCTCGAAAAATAAATATATTCATTTGTTAACATGTTTGGTTTTCATTTTTTAAATTTATTTTTCTTCAAACATATTTTCAATCATATATTTATGGAATTTACACTTTTGCTCTTGAATTAACCCCCTCAATAAATTATTATTTAAACGATTCGTAAACATTTTGATTGATATTATTTTTTGGTCATCCAAATGGTTACTATATACCTTTTACACACTTTTGCTCTTGAATTAACCCTCTCAATAAATTATTATTTAAACGGTTTGTAAATATTTTGATTGATATTATTTTTTGATCATCCAAATAGTTACTATATACCTTTTACGTACATATATAAAAATAATGTTTTTATTTAAACTTACTTATGTGCTAAAAAATAAACTTTTTAAAGATACATAGTTGATAGCGTGAGAAAATGACGAAAGAGATAGTATGGAGAAATAGAGAAGTATGGTTGTAGCGTGTAAAAATGGAGAAAGAGTGAGCCTTCATTATTTTATGTATTTTTATTTTAAGAATATTAAAAAAATTAAGTTGATTAATTGAAATTAAATTATTGTACTGAGAGCCAATGAAAGAAAAAGAAAGTAAAAAAAATGCACGTTGGAATCTTCGTAGTTACAAAAGCTCAAGCACACATGAGCCTCCGTTATTATGGAGGCCTCCAGAAAGCCTCCATAATACGAAGGCTCTATATTGCCTCCATAATATGGAGGCATTGCCTCCATAATATATATATATATATATATATATATAATAATTATTATTTTTTTATCAAATATAATTTTTAAAATTAATTTTTATAAAGTAATATATTTTTAT